CTGCACCGGCTCCCGGGTGCAGTGTTAAATAGGGAAGGGTTCCCACATCAAGGACGGATGTAGGCAAAGAAGCTAGTCCATGAAACTAAAATTAGGATAGGAACTTGGAATATAGGTTCCCTTACAGAAAAATTAATGGAATTAATAGATATTATGATTCATAGGAAGTTAAATATTTTGTGCATTCAAGAAACTAAATGGGTTGAAGAGAAGGCTAAGGAAATTGATAGTTTAAGATTTAAACTTTGGTATTCGGGTATGAGTCGTACTAGAAATGGTGTAGGTGTTATTATAGATAAGAGTTTAAAGGATAATGTTATAAAAATTAATAGGATTAGAGATAGAAATATAGCTTTAAAGATTGTTGTTGATGATAAGATTGTTAATATTATAAGTGCTTATGCTCCTCAAGCAGGTTTGGATATGAGTTCTAAATTAAATTTTTGGAATGACTTAGAAGAATTAATACAAAATATACCTCTTGAAGAAAGAGTTTTTATTGGAGGAGATTTAAATGGACATGTTGGTAAAGAGGTAGATGATTTTAAAAGCATTCATAATGGCCATGGATTTGGAACGACGAATGAAGGTGGCAAGACCATATTGGATTTTTGTTTAGCTTATGATTTTCCAATTGCTAATACCTTATTTAAGAAAAGGAATGAGCACCTCATCACTTATAAAAATGGATGTAGTACAACCCAGATTGACTATTTTCTTATTAGAAAATTAAACCGTTTAGATTGCAAAGATTGTAAAGTTATTCCGAGTGAAAATTTATGTACCCAACATCGATTATTAGTTTTGGACTTTAAGATAAAGGGGCATAAAATAAAAAATAAAGTAAAACAATTTTCTAGGATTAGATGGGGGCATTTAAAGAATATTAACAAAAATATTTTTGGAAATAAGATTTTAGATCTTAAGATTTTGTACGTGCATGAGGATGCTAATATTATGTGGGAAAAAGTGGCTACTGATATTAAGAATATTGCAAAAGATGTCCTTGGAGTATCAAAGGGAAAAGCTCCCAATAGTAAAAATAGTTGGTGGTGGAATCCTAATGTGCAAGAAAAAATTAAAAATAAGAAGCTTTGTTATAAAAATTGGTTTAATTTTAAAAATTCCGATAATTGGGAAATATATAAAGTTGCTCGTAAGGATGCTAAGAAAGCCATATGCGATGCAAAGACATTAGCTTTTAGTGATTTATATAATAGATTAGATACTAAAGAAGGAGAAAGATATATGTATAAGTTAGCCAAACAAAGAGATAGGAGTAGTAAGGATTTAGTTCAAGTGAAGTGTATTAAAGATGAAGATCAAAAAATACTTTTCTTAGAAGATGATATTCAACAAAGATGGATGAGATATTTTGCTAAACTTTTTAATGAAGATTGTGAAAATAAGATTGACTATAGTGACCTTAGCACCCTAGATGAAAATAAAGATTTATGTTTTTATCGGCATATTAGTAAAACTGAAATTAGAGAGGCTTTAAAGAAAATGAAGGGTGGAAAAGCTGTTGGACCTGATGATATCCCAATAGAGGTGTGGAAATGCTTAGGAGATGAAGGAATTTCATGGCTTACTAAACTTTTTAATACTATTTTGAAGACTAAAAAGATGCCAGATGAGTGGAGAATGAGTATGTTAATTCCTATTTTTAAGAATAAAGGTGATGCACAAGATTGTGCGAATTATAGAGGTATTAAGTTAATGTGTCATACTTTAAAACTATGGGAGCGAGTTATGGAGCATAGGTTGCGGCGTCATGTCTTCTACGACGACCTCCTGGAAGTATTTTGTAGAAGATCCATTATTTCTGCATCGAATCCACCCTTTCACCAATCTCGGTGGTTGGACGATTGCATCTGCTGTAGGGGCAGATCTTTGGTTGTTAGATATGAGTAGAAGTCGTACACCTTACAACTGTTCGTTTTTATAGTGCATTGACTTGGTGGGGATTGTTGTATCTACTAGGAGCTCCTAGAACTGTTCGTAGGAGACCCATCGTTGCCTACATCATGCCCACCTGTCACCAATCTCAGGTGGTTTGATGATTGCATTTGCTTGTAGGGGTGCAGATCTTTCTTTATTGGTCTCCGTATTGCCATCTCAATCAACAGGCATTGTAGAGACTGTTGTAGGAATTCGTACATCTTTCATGTGCATCGGGACTTCATCTCCCACTTGCAATTTGTTGTTAGCTTGGACGACCGTGCATTTGGACTTTGATTTGTTCATTTATCCAAAGCACCGTCCTACGCATTCCGCATAATACTAAGTTAAGTGTGGCAGAGATGAGGATGCTCAGGTGGATGAGTGTCTTTACCCTTAGAGATAGGATACGAATGAGCATATACGTGAAAAGGTTGGAGTAGCTCCAGTAGAAGATAAGTTTAGAGAAAGTCGCCTTAGATGGTTTTGGTCACATAAAACGGCGGCCTTGCGATGACCGGCCGGTTAGGAGAGTAGAGGTATTAGATTTGACTTATGTTAAGAAAGGTAGGGGTAGACCTAAAAAGACTTGGTTAGAAAATATTAGGAATGACCTTTCTTTATTAGATTTAAACGAGAATTTGACTTTTAATAGGACACAATGGAGAAAAAGGATTCATGTAGCCGACCCCACGTAGTGGGATAACGGCTTGATGTTGTTGTTGTTGTTGCTGCTTAATTTTCTGCAAATTATCTGTTGTGGTTGAAAAATTCTTTTAAAATTATTAATTAACTTGCATCAGAATTTTTATCGGTTTTCTATCTTCCCCCCCCCCCCCCCCCTCTAAGCCTTGGGACATAAGCTTAGGTTTAACAACCTATTCAAGAATCAACAGCATACACGACTATGGTTGTGAACTCTTTCCGAATTATGAGTATCCTAAGCAATAACAAAACACTTCAAAATTAGAAATATTAAATATACAACACTATAACTTCCTTTTCCTGAAGACAAAAAAAAAAATCTTTGTTGTTATATTTTTCCATCATTGGTTTTCTTCTCTTTTTCCTTCACAAGTTTTTCTATTTTCTTACTTAGTTCTTTGTTAATCTTGCCTCCAGCGCTCGGCAACACCCAGATTATGCCTTCCCCCTCACCCCACGATCCCACGCTCGCTCTAGCACTGTCGCAACTACAACGAAGAAAATCAGGGAACATTATGGGATTTTGGTTGCTAGAGTTAATTAAATCCCCAAATCCAAGGTTATTTACTTAAAATATCTTTTCAACCATCCAGTGCATGTCCTTACAAGTGCTTTGTTTGACATTTATATTGCCCTTGCTACAGTGTTTTTTATTTTTAAACAATAATCCAATTTTCTTAACTTAGGAAAAAATACAATTTAGATTTAATTTTCTAACTCTCAAATCCTTCACATTTAGGCATATGATATTATATATCAAATTGCTTCATTTGATGAGTAGAACACAATGACATATAATTTGTTGAATTTCGTGAAAGTTGAGATTTTGGGGTATTTTAAATTGAGCCAAATGTGGCCCATACCTGATCACATGTGGATTTTACAGGCTCCCTCCAATTAGTGGAGCCTTGCCTCTATCATCTCCCCATCCTTGGGTACAGGCAACACAAGTTCAGTCGCCCTTGGGTCATCATACTCACGCACCTCTGTCACCACCAACTCTAATTTTAATCGTGAGGAGCAGGCTTCATCACCTCATCTTCTTCTAGTTTACATTTGCGTATGACAACCTTCTTTAACCTCTTAAATCTTGGCTTAGCTAATTAGTAGGGTCAAAATCGTCCATCTTGAGCGAGTCAATCACAAGTGCTAAAGGAGAGGGCAATGTAGCTGCTCAAGCCACTATAAATTAGCAAAAATAATGTGCCAAGTCAGATCAAGGCAATAAACAGGATTCTATACAATACCCAAAGCTACCTTAAACAAATGGCAGTAACTTCTACCTACTCTCCTCTTTTTACTATTTAGTGATAACATTTAATACTCACCTTTGATTTAATTGTCCTTTTCACAAATCATCTTTCAAAGGGTTAAATGAATCGGGGAACTAAATGTATACTCCTACATGCCAATGTAGGTACCACACAAATATCTAATAGGTCCTTAAAGGAGACTTGACTTGAACAATCACATCTTTAAAGAGGAGCAATCACCAAGAGGAAAGAAAGTTAACCAACAAGTTGGTCAGTGCCATCTCACAAAAATATGGCCACTCTCCCAACAAGGACACCATATGGGGACTCACCTAAACTAATCAACTTGAGGAATCATCACACTAGGCAAATATCCCAAGGAGACTCATCCGGGTTGGTTTGAGCCATAGATGTCACTCGTCACAATAGAATCCGTCCATCTACAAACACTCTCCATTGTCGGAACTACTAGTAACTAGTCAAGTACCAACATCATCCTAGCTACAAGAACACAACTCAAAGGCCAAAGTTACAATCTTTTACACTTGGACAAACCTCAGCCGTTGCAAGTGTCACCCGGAGAAGTAAGAACAATGGGAGGATGGTAAGTTGACCAAGAGGAAAAATAATTGAATTGAACTACTGCAAAAGAAAAAAAGCACCATCTGCAATTTGAGACCAAAAGTTCTTTCGGTAGAAAAAAACAATAGACTCAGTCAGCAACGAAGACTGCCAAAATAATGATCTCTTAAAAGATAATAAGTGAAACCTGTAAGTGAGTTTAATAATTAGGCCAATAATATGATGTGTACCAGTATCATGTGTCGGTAACATAATTGCATGACTTCATTGATTAAAAAAACTGGCATTTGGCAGAAAGGAAGCCACATCCGCAAAAAATATCATGATCAAGAAATAATTTTAGTCTTGAACATGACCTAATATGACGAGGAAATGCCTATTACTTTTCACAAACTAACTATGAAGTGGAGAAAAAGAGAAATTAAATAAATTAAATTATTAGGAACAGATTAAATAATTTTAAATTAATTCAATAAAACAGCACATACTTAAGATAAATGTAGAGGTCAAACATCTTACCAATGGTCTCCCAGATGGAAGTAGTTTTCGGTCTATGGATGGGTCAAGTTGTGCTTTATTGTCTGCACCAACAATAACACCCGGGAGATCCCTAAAGTTTGCTCCCTTCAACAATGACGAGATTTTAAGGTAAATCCAAAAACAGTTATTGATTCCAAATGCAACATAGAATGCACAATTCTCTAAATCAACCTTTCTATGTGGAATTTGACATACGCGTAAGTAGTCATCCTCCCCCAATCGTAGAGGTCGATGGTCATACAGCATAGGATTAGTGGTGGTTACTGATCCCAAATGCTCTGCATTTCATAACAAGCTTGAGAATATAAGCAATAATTGAAAAGCACAAAGTCCAGCATTCAAGTTGACTTAGTTTTACGGATATGAAATTATTTATTTTGCTGGCGTAAAAAAACAATAAAGAAGATAAAAACTACAACGAGATCCATTGATCCTCCCACGTCAAACATAAAGCAAAATCTGACATAATGTCCCTTGGAAGCACTTAGACTGCTACGATGGAATAATTGAGTTTCAATATAATAATACATATACAGAACCGACAAACGATAGTTTAATGGTCAAGGCTACCAAGTCAAGAGAACTTCCACGATCTGTCGGAAAGTTATCAGCAATTTTAGTTTATCAATATTTAAAACTAGCCATTTTAGTTTATTCTTTAAAACCTGTTGGAAAATTGTTTAAGGGTCAAGGTTACCAAGTCAAGAAAACTTGCAGGATCTGTTGGAAAGTTGCTAGGCGGCATTTTAGTTTATCAATATTCAAAACTACCTATTTTATTTCTTTCTTTATAACCTGTGATTCTCTACAGCTAAAAGAGCATATTAAACTCAGTTTGATGAGATTCGCAGCATTACAATTTGATACATTCTTATAAAAATTAAAGAGTCAGTTAATCCTAGATGTTAGAACAATTACGCCAATGAATTCTACTTTTGCAATCTATATGCAATAGAGGTAGGACTATAATACTTGATATTTTGAAAAGTGTTGGGGAGAGATGAGGAGTAAACACCACAATGACAAAACAAGCAAAAAAAGTAAAAGCGGAGGAAAAGTAAAAGACACAAGGATATAATGTGGAAAACCGCAAAATAAAGAAAACCAAGGAGCCACACCACACCAAGAAATCAACTATGAAAATTGGGAGAAATAAGTACATATCTCTCTTCTCTCTCTCATTGCTTCTCTTATCACATGCACAATTCTCACACTTGCCCTATCAGAAACTAAAAGAGTAAGCTAAGAAAAATAACTCCAAAGGACGCAACCCTTGAGAAAACAAGAAAGAAAACCGTCAAGTCCATCTCGCAGCGCTACGGCGCCAGTTTGAAGTACTGCGGCGCTCAAGCCTCTGTCTTGAACCGTTGCGGCACCATAGTCTTGACCGTTGCGGCATCATATATAGGCCGTTGCGGTGCTCTACTTTATGTTGTTCATAGCTGAGGCGCTCGGGAACACAACGTCGGGGCATTGTAGGGGAAAAAATTTCGGGTGCAAAGCATCCGAACACAAGCAGGGGATCCCTAGAAAACACGACAAACTTTGAGTTCCGAGACAACAAAACAACCAGATTGATCAACACAATCATATTCCACACATAACAAAAGGCTATCTGAGTAACCTAAAAAAATTATACCCATTTCTTGCATCTAACAAACAACAAATTATATATATTTTTATGACTATTTTGAGATATATATATAAAGGTAATTATAAAGATATTACCTTAAATAAATTATTTTAAAATTTAAACTATTTAAACCCAAGGTATTTTAATAGCACTGTTTATCAGATTAATATTAAGTGAATTATTGTCATGTAGCATTTGTGTGGTTTTGGCTTTCCATGGACAGATGGGGATTTAAATGGTTGATATCAAATTAGGGTATTATATGTACTTAAATTAATTATGTATATGCATATATTAAAAATCTATGATGCACAGACACAAACACGAGACAAGTCAATTATTAAAAATATAAGACACAAATACTGGTTGAACACAGTATTATAATATTTGTATTTTAAAAATAGTATATATAAATTGAATAAATATAATATTAAGAATAATTGAGAAATAATAAATCATTTAACTATGATTTGTGCTTAAATGATTTGCATTAGAATGTCGAGAGTGGACGTTGATGTTTTGTTTCAAGCATCAAGAGGAGAGATGACAATGATATCATTAGTCCGACATCAAGCATCAATGTCGAGACAGCCTCATTGTCTATATTGAGATGATGTCGGACAAGTTGAGATGCCAAGACAGCACGAGGGCGTGATTGTGGGTACAAAAATTGTTGGGGTTAAACTTTGATTTTGAAATATTTTTTAAACATTGATGTTGTGACGGCGGCCGACGTCGATGTTGCAATGGCATCAAGCTTTATTGTGAAACCCTAGCCGTGATCTGTCAGGGAGAAATGAAAATTGGAATGTTCGAGGAATGGTTGAGTGCGAGCAGATGATTTGAGACTTTTGATACGAAATGAGAAATTTAGTTTTGTCTTTTATCAAACAAAAATTTGAAATATAATAAATATTAAAAATTCTTCATAAAATATTTAAGATGGTTGTCTAATTTCTCTTTGAGGATAAATGTCAGTGCATCATAGTTAAAAACTCTTAAAGCATTTATCATTCCACCCATTTTGTAACCAGTAGCCTATCAGCTTGCAAAACCCAAAACTTTCATGTGTGTGCGCGCGCGCGTGTGTATATATATATATATAAAATTCTATTTGAATTATCTCTTATATTAACATTTAACTCACAGTTAAGTAAATTTTAGTAATAATACTAAGTAACATTTACGGTTAATATAAGAGATAAAATTCTAAAATTTTAAAATAAAATACTAAGTAATGTTTACTATTAATATAAGAGAGAATATACTGAAAAAATAAAATTCTAAATAGGTGCATTCAATGGTTGCATAGAGTGGCAGTTATAGTATGTGGGCCCCTCTTCCTACCATTTCACGTAAACTAGAGTTTCCACTCATACAAACAGTGAAGAATGGTAGTGAAGCACGATAGTGCTGTGAAGATAAATATAGGCTGTAGAGTGGATTGCGGCTGAGAGAAAATACAGGAGATAGGCACAATGTTCTGTGAAGAGAATTACAGCGTCGTGATGTAAGACACAGCTCGGTTTATGCATTGAGGAGTTCGGTTGTTGAAGAGGGCGGAACAATTCTAGAAAGAAAATCTTGTGAAAGCTATAGTCGTAAGGAAGAAAACGGAAGGGAATTTTCTGTGAGAATTGTGTTGTGTAAGGGAATTCTGAAGTGCAGTTCGACACGCTACTGCTGTAAAGAAGATGTGGCATAGTGCATAAGAAGAAAGATTTACACCTTGAAGTGAACTGCAGTTCGGTAATAACTCTGTTGTGAAGAAGAAATTGACTGAAGGAAAGAGTCGGTGAAGATTGAAGCAATGTGAGAGTGAGAAACTGTTGCCATGTTCAGCACATTGCAAAGAAAAGACGAAAAATTTAGCAGTAATTGAGAGTGGAATTTCAGTGATGAAATTTCAGTTAAAGAGAATAATAGAGAATTAAAGGAAAAGAACGAATCGAGGATTCACTGGATATATGCAAAAGGGAAACTTTGAGGTTACTTATAATCGCAAAAGAGTAAGAGGTGGAGGATTATAGGAAACAACTCGTTAGGAACATAAGTTGTGTAATTTCTAATTGACAAACACATGAATTGTTAATTTGTATATATATATATATATATATATATATATGATATCACTTGATTTAATTGAAATGATAAATGCATCATGAAAACTTTAATATTGAAAATGAGTATACGTCAAAGTTCTCATGTATGAATGACCACTTGCATACCTGTGACATTGAAGTTTAAAATAAAATTTATTATGATTGTTTCAATATTTTTCTAGTTGATAATAATTTGGAAAGACCTCATTAAATTTCATGTTCCAACCACATCCTTGTATGTAAGCATAGCAATAAATATATTCTTATGGAATTTTGTACGTGATAAGTCAAGTATGAAGTACTATGTTGTGAAACCTATTGAATATCAAAAATTAGAAAAAAAAAAATAGGTATAAAAATAATATGATACATGTAATTATAGGTGAGGCAAAAGGGACCCTAGAGACAAAATAGTAGGTGGGGCAAAAGGAACTCACAAAAAGGCAAAAAACAACCTCTATATAGTTTAATGACGAGAATGTCAGGTTTACCTGGACTCCATTGAACATTCTTTTGAAAGTTTAGTCAAATATTTAAAAGACTAATATTGATATTCAATATAGACTTCAAAGGAAGTAAAGATTAATGCTAAATATAATTTTATGTTGTTTTATAACTAATGACAAGTTTAATTAATTTATGATTTCAATATTGTGAATTTTATAATCATGCAATTTAACAGTTATTTAATTTGCATAATTTATTGAGCCTCATAACTTACCAATTATTTTATACTAGTTGTTACTGGAAAAGAAAAAGGAAAACATGAAGCAGAATAGGTTCAAGTTAATTTCAATTTATATTCTTCTATTTAGCATTATTTGTGAGTCTACATCTGAGGTTGTATTCTCTTTTGGTTTCTCTTAGTGGCTCTGTACCTATTTATGTGATAAAATTTGGATTAATTAGATGCTTCCGAGTATTTAGTAAATATATTTATTGGTGGTTGTTTTATTCAACTATGACATTCATGAGAAATTAAAACGGTAAAGAATAAATTTTATGTTCATTTCTGTGGCATTCTACATTACTGTTAAGGGATATCGGGGGTGTTACACAGCTAGCCTAAACCAAGAGCGAATAGTGAGGATGCCTTGAAGAAGAGGAAAGGGGATGAATAATGGTTTCTTCAAGAAATCTATTTTTTCCTAAATTCTTTAACAAACTATGAATTTAATGGGAAGGAGATAAGGCTTGTATGAGTGGTAATTTGGAGATAATTGGATATGTTGAGATTATTTTTAATTAAATTTGAGTGGATGAGTTAAAAATTGAGAAATATATTTCTCAAAGATTGTTTAAAAAAGAGTACACTTTGAAGTAACCATAATGAGGAAGTTTGTTTTGTAGTAAGTCAAAATATCTAATCTCTAATTCAAGAATAAGACTTCGCAAGGGGCTTTGGTGATTAAGGAGGTTTCTGATGTTGCTCCTAAGAAGATCATTCATGTGAAGGGAAAAGGTAAGTCTATTGCTGAAGATTTGGAGAATGTTACTCCTAGAACTAATAAAGTTTGTTCGACTTTGAATTCGAATGATCCTG